AATAGCTGACATCATGCCATCAAGGAAAGCGAAGAGCACAAATTCACTCTTAGATCGAGTCATCTAGACTCGACCAGAGCGGGTTGGACTAGATGATATAGGATATTATACCCACAAGGCTAAACCGGTCGAAGAGGCCATGCTGTGAGGAAACCAAGCCGAGTGGCGGGAAAATCGACCAGTCGATCAGTCGACCAGTCATTCAGTCGGTCAATCTATCATTCGACCATGTGAGCGGTCGAGCAGTTCAGTTGACCTTGATCGGTCGACCACTTGGCAGACTTAATACTGCATAGATCGGCCTAGTCACAGGCGCGTGAAAGAGCCTCTCATAAGAATATTCATCCCATGTGCAGGAGGACACGTGTCGAGAACTTATCGGTTGATAGCGACAACCACCTCTGACAGCTCCCAATGTCCCGCGCCACCTCTGACATGCGCGCGGTGTGTCAGAGTACGGACGGGCAGCTTGGGCAGCCAGCTCATCCAATCCGGGCAGCCTTAGGTCAGGTATCTCACTCCTATATAAAGGGGGTGAGCCTTTCTTCCTTGGCACGATTTTTCCATTACTCAATTCTAGTATACTCACACACATACTGACTTAAGCATTGGAGTCTCTTCACCAAACACAACCCCCGGTGTGAGAGTTATTTGCAGGTTTCCGGTGTTCTACCGGCGAGGAGGAGTATCTATCTATCTCGAACCGGACGCTCACACTTGCATTACCCACCACTCCACATCCCTCTTCACTGTGAACCAGGACCCTCATTAATCCACATCTTAATAATATGGTGATGCCTCTCATCACTATGAATCGTGGCAAACATGGCTCGATTCGTGGGATCCCGAAGCTTCTTGCAAACAAACTGGAAAAGATCTTCGTCTATATTCGGCATTGCTTGAAGCTTTCGCATTGCCTGTTCCATCATTGTTAGCTTTTCAAGTTTGTTGTTTCTTTCTTTCAGCGACACATTCAAGTCTGACCACGAGTACATGGCCGTGTCGAAATTGGACTCCGTGCCTCTCCTTCGACGAACGGACTGATTCTGCCCACCATGGCGTCGATGAGATGTCGGGGTTTCCATTGGATCGTCATCTTGCTGCGTAAAAACATCGGGGCTGAAATTTCCAGATGGCTCACCACGTCCCTCGGGCACACATTGAGTCGATGCCCTTGCATTCGACCCTGTAGCAGTTGTCCCATGAAAAATAGTCGTCAACGCTTCATAGTGTATACATACCTTTTCCTCCATGTCATGATCCCTTGGATTTGCCTGTGGACGTCATAAAACAATGAAAAATTTATAAAAAGGAGAATGACACATCAAGAACACCAAAATTAGTTTATAAAAATATTCCCCAACAAACAAGTAGTACATGGCATATATAAATTTGCAAAGTAACAAAATCACACATTATTATACGGCCAAAAAATGTACAAGAGACCAATTTTATGTACAAGCTGAAATGGAATAATATTTATATAAAAATAGAATCAATAAGAACAGGTGTACAGGCCACACTATATTTCAAAGACAGTTGAAGCAAAGAACACTTGTCTGATAATTAATTTAACATAGAAAACAATTGTATGCTACAACAACAAGAACAGAAAGCAATAAGAACAGGAGTACTAGCACAATTGAAGCAAATAACACTTGTGAGATAAATTAATTGAATATAGAAAACAATTGTATGTTATAACAAACCGTAAAAATTACTTACGGTTGTCCATTTCTCCCAAACTTCAGCGTCTCCCGTAATTATTTTTTTTTTTGTGGACACCAACTTCATTCGGTGGCATTGGTAACCAAGTTGTGAAACTTTCCCCAGTACACTTTCATTCGTTGGTACTTACTTTGTAGTTGTATGACCTTGTAAGGATAGAAAATAGGACACTGCCTTCAACTTCCTAAGAATGGTCGCCCATTGATTCGGTGTGAACTTACCGGTTACACGGTTTCCCATCAGAACTTCTTCCAACAGAATATTGACAAAAACGACTTCATTTTCGGGAGGCCATTTGGCATCTCCTTGAGTGCTATCAGTCTAAGGACCAATACCACCACCAGTTGACATCTACAATATGACAAATAACAAATCAAATACAATGTAGTATGTTATGCTTCACATGTACAAATCTATTGTACTCATGGATATTTGGGCAATCATATTTCTTCTGTAATCCAATCAACCGAATAAAAAGGTATCATAATAAAAAGTACTACACGCGGAATTGGAGATTCAAACTTACCCAACATGTTCCGTCAACAGTGAAGAAAACAACAAGAAAAAATAGTAAGGTCGGATATAGTGCACACAATATCACAATCAATCTGAGATCCAAATTTACCCTACGGTCATATCCTTTTTTTATACAATAAAACGATCTACAAAATACCATCAAACTTTGTACTCAGACCCAAATTTTTGTACCAAACGATTGTAACATCAAAGTAAACTTCAACAATTTTTGTATAGCAAAATAAAAAGAATCGCCTAACTACAAAAAAAGTGCCATGTTTCCTTATTTTCCACAATTTTTCGTAATACAAATCAATGGAGGAGAAGAGGAGTATGCCCTACCTTTGTTGGCCGGAGTCATTTTTTTTCGGAGATGTGATGGAGACGCTACCGGTGCTTTCAGTAGTGTCTTGAGTTGGGAGATCGGTTCTTGGTTCGGCGTTCGCTCTACGTGATGTCGCCGGATGATTTTATGGAGAGGAGAGATCCATATATGTTGAGGTGATAATAGCCGAATTTATGGAGTAAAATCTCGAGTTCATCAGGTGATATAGCCATACTGTCGTATAACGGTTTACACTATCAAGGGTTCCAGAATTACCGAGTCGACTTAGCCAAAGCCGACTCTTTCATCATATTCCCTATAATATCTCCAATTAGGGGTCCAAATACCCTCCGGTCGACTCCTACATGTCGACTAGTATAAGTCGATTTCCTGCGAAGCGATGGTCAAAAGCATATCAGGATCCATTAGCGATTGAGTATGACCCAATCGACTCGAGTCGATTGGATCAAGTCGACTGAAGAGGTCTGGAAGCCCATAAATCTCGACAGCTCTGATACACTTCAGCATATCGAAGGGAAGCTAAGGATAAGGAAGGATCTAGAAGCTGACTAGGAAATGGACGGAATACGAACCAACCGGGGTAGTTTGGACATTTCCAATAAGTCAGCCGGGGCATTTTGGGGACTTCAGGTAAATGTTCCATTTCTATATATAAAGGAGCTGAGGTAACTCCAAAACCCTAACTCCCATTCATTCCATATTGTCCTCCATTGCTGCTGCTTCCTCAGGGCAGCTCTTTTCACTCTTTTCACATACTGACTTGAGCGTCGGAGGCTCTACGCCGGAATTCCCTCCGGCGTTGAGTTCTTGCAGGTGTTCTCGCGGTTCGATAGCAATTTGGAGACCATCAAGACATATCTGAGCTCGTTCTCATCGGTTCATTCCAGATCCGGGCGATTTTCCACCGGTTCACCCCAGATCCGAGGATAGACCCATCATCAGGTACCAGCTCAGTCGGATTTGAAATGTGGAAGCAACAAGTCAAAAAGAAGAAGAATCGTAATGAATGTGCGCAATGGTGTTGGTGTCTTGGGGTTTGGGAAAGGCTGATCTGAGTGATGGATACAGGTAATTGTGGGTCATGCAAAAAACCCATCTGTGATATCCAATCACAGACTCAACAGTAAAAATCACCCCAAAATGAGTTTTTTCTCAGCCCAATTGATATCCAATCGCGCCCTAAGTAAAGAAACTCAAATTTGAGCACTCTAAGCTCCACACTCAAAATGGCCATGGCTAAGGCTACTTTAATCTTAAGCCCACAGTCGGATCCACTCTTCAAACTCAACAACCAAATAGCTGGGAGCAACCTGACGAGAGGTCCGCCAACACCATCCCTTCAACTACGGTACCCGACCACCGACCGCTGAGAGAAAAAATGGGCTCCAACTCAGCTGTAGTTGGAACCAAAAGGGCCGACCAAAAGTAGCAAGCACGAAATGTGCAACGTTGAACCGGCAACTCCCTGGTCGGAGCGATTGATTGAGCCGACAACAACCACCCCATCCTCCTTGCCAGCAAAAAACATACCTTCTACAAGATATTTTTAAATGACAACGCCGACGTGGTCTACGCGGCAGAGGAGGAGAAAATAGCGTCGGCGCCGACGCCAGCACCCTTGGGTGGGACTCGCCAGGGAGCAGAGAGAACAGCGAGAAAAATAAATAGATCTAATTTTTTCTTTGAAGTGAGAGAACAGAGAGAATTGGACAAAATAATTTTATATTTAATTAGTATAGCCTGTTAAATTTGATTGAAACTTTTCAAACATCTCTACAACTTGTTACTTAAATAGACACCGGTAATAATAATGTTAACAATAACTGGGCAAACATTTTTTTCACACACCACAATCTCAATACATTTTGTTTTAGCTCCAGATCCTTCAAAAACATATCGCACAATACAAAAATTCTATGGAGCCATCGGATGGTTTTCTTATGGAGACATCCATGACTTAGTGTATTGACACTTGTCCAAAGTGCATTTGTTGTAGGACACGTGTCAATACACTATTTGTGAATAACTGTGGATAGCTCCATAAGCCGAGCCATCCGATGGTTCCATAGCAAAACTGTCGCACAATATAGTCGCATAATGGTAGCACAGTCGCACAATATAGCTGCACTGCATAATGATTGCACCAGTGGTCGAATAATAATCGCACAATCAATAGTATGTTGAGAGGTGAAGAAACAAAATTTTTTAATGCGTTTATATTTTTTTTTTTTTT